CACCGAGCTGTAACATTTTTCAAGCGATATATTCAGCGAACAGATATACGAAGGATGACATCGACGTGTACGTACGCGACGTGATCCCTAAAGGTAAGCTTAAAAACAACTTCTCTGTCGTTTCTAAGCGTATTCATACGTTGATGGTAGAAGTGGATACAGCTCTCCTAACATTTTTAATGGGAGGCAAGCCTCTTTTTACAATAAGACAAATAAAATTTCGCGATCACTTCACAATCAAGTCACGAATGTTATTTTTCTTAAGGGATCGGGATATAAATCAAATTTTTTTGCACAATACCCCCTGAATATAACTTGAATCTTGTTGACCTCTTTCTAGACTGTAAAGTTGAAGCTGGAAACTTAATAAAAACTCATAAATATCTAATTTAGCGTTCATTGCGGTGTGAATAAGGCTGTTTCTAATCCACCGTCAGCTAAATTATGAATGCATTTAAAAGGATCTGTTGTTAATATGAGGTGTAGCCGCGCGGTCACGCCTGTCGGCGGCTCAAGAGTTAATTACACTTTGGGTACACTTTGGGTACACTTTGGGTATACTTTGGGTACACTTTGTGCTGAGTATACCTCTCTACACTCTTGAGCTGGCAGACGCCAATGTTGCCCCTCAGTCCGGTCTATACGACCCATGACGCCAGAGGGGGGGACCCATTTAGTCGCTAGTTAGTCACCGCCTGCCATTTTTTCAGTCCGAGACTAAGTATAAACCAGGCAGGTGACCCGTAGTCTCCATCCATAGCTCAGTAACTCCATCCATCCTTCATCCATTGTATACCTTCTGATTGTTGGGACTGATTAATACCTAAGTGTGGATGGCAGCACATCAATATTCATACATAAGATGTAAATGTGATACGTATGATTTTCTTTGTTATTCAAAATTTCCTTCAAACCAACTTGAAAACATAAATATCTACCTACTAATTACTAACTACGATGTCAACGAACGATCTATTGTTTCTTTTGTTTGTCTCGTACCAGACTATTTATCTACGAATATTATTATTTAGTTCATCTTTGCAATAGGCTAGTTTCCTGAAAATAACTTTTAGTTTTGTTAAACTTCTTAACTTTTAGTCCGTCAATTACATTATCAAAAAATATTGGACACGTGTATTTTTATTTGTCAATCAAACAAGTAATTAGGAAGTCATTATGCGTTGAATTTCCGCGTGAATAACGTCACAAAGTACTACACTTTTAAGCACGCCTTGATGTCACGGGCCTCTTCGTTTGATATTTGGCTCGCTTTACCTCTTTCAATTTTCATTAGTTTGAAAAAGTGAAAAATACGTGTAGAGTATTTTTTGATAAGTTAACCGACGGACTAATTCAAACTTCCTTTTTTACCCAGGAAACATCCCTTATACATTCATGGAGGTACATAAACTGGTACTAAGTAGTTTGAACTGCACCTAGTTCTTCGAAAGCTCTACAAAACCCAATATTGCTGGAAAATGATGTGTATTGAAACTAGATGCCAATTTCCGGACCTGAAACCTGAAACAGTCAGAACGGAACGCTATTGAAATGTCAACGTTTTATACAACACGGTTCTCGGAATTCTGGGACTTCGTAGTTTGTATTAATATTATTCTCAGAAGCTGGGACACCGAATACTTTATTACTTTATTCTTTGTGCTGACTTATGTCTTTAGAATACTCAAAGGAAGTACCAGAATATACTTCTTTTGGTAAATTAAGTTCAATCCCCTGTTTCTAAAAGCCTGTTTTTTTTTCGTGAAAACCTCGTTTTATATTCTTATGTTTGAAAGTGTCAACAGCTGCTAGCCGACCCACTGTTCTGTCACAGAACTGATCAAAATTAGTTCTCCAGTTGTTACCACGTCTTGGCAACCGTTAATAGCATAGACCTTTAATATCAAGAGGACAACTGACAGTGGCTACAATAGACAAGTGAAACGTCGTATCTGGCAGAGACTACTGAAATTGTTTGCAATGTGTGTAGCATTTCAGCCTTGCTTCTTTGTATGTACCCAGTAGGTGAGTCTATTACAACTTTTGTTCAATTTTGTAGGTAGGGTGTACAATCCCTTCATTATTAACACCTTTCCTATACAGACCAGAGTGAATCGGACCGAATGCCGGTTCGTTCGCCGCCACCTCTTTGTTCCACTTCCATACATTATTCGCTTGTTAATAACTCCGATCTGCCGCCAATTATGAAGTTGGCACATTTCAGAATGGCACCATTTAATTGTTACTCGCTTTACAAACTCCGCGGTTGTTTACTTGTTACAGGTGACAAAAAGGCTTTTGGTTTGCGCTTCTGTTTTGACGACGTGCCGAGAATTGTGTGTGTTGGAGGAATTGATGATTTTCGTAAAAAAATCCAGCCCCCCTAGACAAAACGCACTTTTTGATCGAATCGAAAATCGAATCCGTCAAAACTCCATACAAAAAAGGGGCTTTTCGACCACTTTTCGACTGGTTTGCGATTATAATTTGCACTTTGTCTAGACCCACAGTTATGTGTGTGTTGATGATAGCACATTTTTGTTGCAAAATACTACCACAAAATGTATACCTACTGAAAACTATCATAATGACCAAAAGATCGTATGAAAAAATGTGGATAAAATTAATTAATCTTACTCTTATCTTTTTATATAAAAACGGGCTTGACACAAATTATAACTTGAAACTTACAAAATTATAGGGATTACGAAAACTTTACAAATAAGTTTTATAAAATATACTATATAAAAAGACATACATAAAAAGAAAAACGTGACATGGCTTCCCTTTAGTAAACGCGAACCAAAATACTGTACGAATGAAACAGACTTAACCTATAATAAAATAACCACGCTGAAACCAAGCAGCCGGATAAATAACAAATAATAACAAAACAAAAGCAAAGCACTCAATCAGGAAATAATGAGCGGACAGATTAGATAAAAGAGGAGCAAACTCGCTGAGACAACGGCGGTAAATCTCTCAGTGGCAATTACCGCTTACCGCCGCGCGAGAAATGGATAGTGACCGCATACAATCGTCAGTCGATAGTTTATATCGATATAGCATCGCATATCGGTAGTGAAATGAGCGGAAATATGAAAAAAGAGGAGCAAACTCGCTGAGACAACGGCGGTAAATCTCTCAGTGGCAATTACCGCTAACCGCCGCGCGAGAAATGGATAGTGACCGCATACAATCGGCAGTCGATGGTTTATCGATATGGCATCGCATATATATCGGTAGTGAAATGAGCGGACAGATTATAAAAAAAGAGCCAACTCACTGAGACAACGGCGGTAAATCTCTCAGTGGCAATTACCGCTTACCGCCGCGCGAGAAATGGATAGTGACTGCATACAATCATCGGAGTCGATGGTTGCATGGATATGGCATCGCATGTCGGTAGTGTAGAACTGTGCGTCATAAAAATATCTGCTATTTTATACGGAATATACCCAATCGAAGCAAAGCAATCGCAATTTCAATATGAAATTGAATGTGATGCTATTTGGAACATCTGTGTCGTATCAATCGTCTGTTACAATTCAACATTTATTTACCAGGAAGGGAGGTATTTTAATACCTCGACAGTGTTGTATACTTCTAGATAATGCAGTTAGTTTACAGTTAATTCAGAATAGTTTTTACTTTTCAAGAAATATTTAACGAGAAATATTTGGAGACGAGAACCACTGATAATTCACTTTCATTTATTTTCATTGACGTAACTTACATGATGTTGACGTACCATCTATCGATATTAAGTCTTCAAAAATATCGATACCGGCGCTACACTAATTGATGCAGTATGATTGTCAGGGCAGGCAGAAGCTGCACCGATACAATGGCGCTTCGGGGAAACAACTCGATAGGTCGGCGAGGTGAGGGTTGATGTATATATGTAGATAGCTGCCAATAAACTACCGGGTATGAACTATGAAGGGTTAAAATTAAAACAAAAGTGGTTACAAATTGAAGAGTCTGGAGTTTTGAAAGAGCGAAATTATTGAAAACAAAGAGTTCGAAAGAAAATATATTTTTTGTTTTATCAGTAACAGTCAATTAGTTAAGAAACAAAAAGAAAAATACGCACCAGTACCAAACATGCCAAAGATGGACCACAATCCCAACAGTGGTTAACAAACTTACAAAGTTATTGTCAAGATCCCGAAGTCCCCAAGGAATCAACTCCACTAAGCCTGCGACTGGACGCATCAAAAACACCCAATTTCTTCTCTAAATGAATTCCTACTTATAATTTTGACAACACTATGCGGTTGACATAAGAACCATTTTGCTATAGAATCTTTTTAAGATCAAATACAGTCAGACCCATAATTATCTGTCAAAGACGTAACAATGTATTGCTAAAGTAATAGGAATGAAAATTCCGTAGTTCTACTAAGCTACGATAATTTCGTAGCAGCTACGATTTTGTGGCCGAGATTCTCGTAGTCGTGCTACGAAACAGTGCAAAATAAAGGTTTTAAGCAATATTGTTTTAGAATGGTTACAAAGCAACGGCATAGGTTCCATTCTTCTTTCTGGTTCATGTTAAACATACCTAATACAATTAAGTTTCGACAATGTTGACTTAAAAATCTTGAGTTTTATTCTCAAGTGGGACACACAAAGTAGAGACTGTATCAATTCCCATCTTAGTTGCAGTGTTAGTACGACTGACTCTCAGCGATAATCGTAGCTGGTTCTGTTTAAAAAATATATTGTAAAGTGTACGACTGTTTCAGTTACTCGTACATGACATAATATCACACTTATGTAGAATCTTAAAGTTAAATATCGGAGCTGTTACTCAAATCTATCTGTAAATATTTAAAAATTCATTTGGTTTAATATTTCTGCATCCAACTATACAATACAATACAATCCTTCGAAATAAGTCCGTACGGAACAAGTTGCGGTCGGAAATGACTCCGTTTGTGTTTCGCAAACGAACTGTGGTTTGTCTTAAGATTCTAGTTATTTTTGCCTTTAAAATGGCTTTGTGGCAAGAAAGGAAGGTAAACGGTTGGTTTGCATTCAAAATTGGTGGCCATGATGATATTTTAACTGTAATATGTTTTTATAGTCGGCCGTTTGGTGTAATGGTTCAGGACTGACTACTATGCCGAGAGGCCCCGGGTTCGATTCCCGGCCGGGCAGAAAATGAAATGATGAATTTTAATTTCTGTGATGGGTCTGGGTGTTACTATGTATAATATGTATGTATTTACAATAATAAAGTGTTTAAGTATGTATATCCGTTGTCTAGTACTCATAGTAGGTACAAGCTTTGCTTAGTTTGGGACTAGAGGCGCAGTGCAAAATGTCCAAGGATTATTATAGAGATAGAAGGCACTTGGTTACATACTTATAAAACCACTGATTATTATTATCTACACTAATATTCTAGAGAAGAAATATTTGATTCCATTATACATTAGGTACGAACTTATCCTGGTAAACTAGTAATAAATAAAACCTGTCTCCTAGGTAGTGGCTTTCTAATTGCTTAAGTTAGGTACTAAAGTCCCTAATGTAACATATTAGATTAGTATACTTCAAAGAAACAGCTAATATTACCTACTTACATACTTAGACAAAACGGATGACCATGTAATTTCTTTCTTTTCTTTGGTCAATTTCACACAGCACTATCTAGCCCCAAAGTAATAAATTAATATGCTTGTGATATGGGTGCTAGCTTAACAGATATACTACCTACATATATACTTTTTAAATACATACATATTATACACAGTAACACCCAAAACCGTCACAGAAATTAAAATTTATCATTTCAATTTCTGCCCAGCTGGGAATCGAACCCGAGACCTCTCGGCATAGTAGTCCGTTTTAGTCATAGTCATAGTCATATATGTTTATTATTATTAGAACCACTACACCAAACGACCGACAATATACTCGTATATTATGTAGATGCCTACTTATTACCATTATTCATACTTTTACAGAATCCATCACTAATTTTCTGCGGTTCATCGTTTCGCAACGCAACCAAACTTAGAGCAAACAAAACTGAATACAAATTTTATTAGAATCGTCAAAAACTCGACGAACTTATAAACTGGGCAAACAAAGAATCATAATAAATCCGCTCAAATAAATGAACTAATCAGGGTGGGGAGGGCACGATCTCTTTCCTTCAATAAAAAAATTGCTAAGGGCGACAAACTCGAGGATATTGGGGTTCCGTAGAAGAACCATTTGCCACAACACAATGCTATAATTTCTAGAATACACAACCGACATTTAGTTTTGAAAAGAAAATCTATAATGTATGAACGTATAGGCGGTATAGTCAGATTAGTCAGTACTATTTCGAAATAGAAGTAAGTAACAGGAAAAAAAGTTCACAACAAGAAAAAAATATGAAAGTCGCTACTCTACCAATATTAGGATAGGATGCATATGTAAATGCTTTATGTTCTTTGAGGGTTGCCAGGTCCCATTATCGAGCTGCTGTAACTAAAGCCAAGGGCGTGTTACTGCGGAAAACAGTCGAGAGATTAGAAAAAGAGGGTCCGTGGTCTCCGATATATCATGAATTCAGAGCTAACCGTAAATTAGATATTGCTTATATTTCTAACATAAAAATTAACAACACTCATACGGTGGGTGTAGAGGAAACAACAGGTGCTCTTCTTAACGCGCTTANGTAAGCTTAACACACTTCGAAAGGCAAATGTTACTGGGGATGCATATGAAAATGCTTTATATTCTTTGAGGGTTGCCAGGTCCCATTATCGAGCTGCTGTAACTAGAGCCAAGGGCGTGTTACTGCGGAAAACAGTCGAGAGATTAGAAAAAGAGGGTCCGTGGTCTCCGATATATCATGAATTCAAAGCTAACCGTAAATTAGATATTGCTTATATTTCTAACATAAAAATTAACAACACTCATACGGTGGGTGTAGAGGAAACAACAGGTGCTCTTCTTAACGCGCTTATACCCGACGATAGTGTGGCTGACGATAACGATTATCATCGGGACGTCAGAAATGCTATTGCGGTGCTGCCTGAGTCGCCTGTGTCTTCCATTCCTAGCCTTGATGAGTTTTACGATATAGTAAATAGTTTACCCTTAAACAAAGCATCGGGCGAAGATAAAATATCAAATAAAATGATTAAAGCAGCGTGTAAAACAGCCGGAANACAAGTAACATTAAGCTCCGCGTCTGATTGAAAACTTAGCTATCGAGATTCCATTCATGCGCCTATGTTTTATTCAATAGAGCTGCATTCCTAGCAATAAATATATTTTACAGCAATATTAGACGACGAGGCAAATAGATAAATTCCCGTCGATTTGATTGCGCGTCTAAAGAAATATGAAGTTTAATCATTTATTATTTTTCAAAGCGTTAGGTACTGAAAAAAGGGTATTCATAGAGATAAAATGTCATACTAAAGCTGTTTATCGTCGTTTACCTATTCTGATTCGCATCTATGATACTGTTAAGACGTTTAAAAAGATTATGATAAGCGTGTTTTTGTGTCAGTCTCACATCATCACTAATAATAAAATCATCCATAATACCTAAGTAGTATATTCCCTGTCTCCGATATCAATTTGATTTGTGTTAACATACTAAACATTGTACTCACTTCTGTCGAGCCATCGTATCGCTGAGCCATGGATGTGGGGTGATGCCAGTAGCTCCTTGAGGAATTGCCAGAGGTGTATGTGTGTGCTGCCTGACTTTGCCTTGCCTCCTCCAGTGCCTGCGCTTGTCCCGGCCGGTTCTGAGTCTTCGTCTGTGAGAAAAAAATCATTGTTAATACTGTTATCATTACTTAGCGACGGTGTTTTGTTTTATAGCTTGTTTTTAACCCTTGTATAAGACGTGACATTTTCATTAACATTGATACTCAAAAATGTTCAAACCTAAAATGGTAAAAAAATTAGTGTCTTGTTAATATTAGGCTAGGCCCTGTACACTAGTACTTTGTTATTTAGATACTTTGATATTTTTGCACAGATCTGAATAATTTTCATCACCCTTATTATTTTGAACAGCCTCCTGCCTCCGTAGCTGACGATAACGATTATCATCGGGACGTCAGAAATGCTATTGCGGTGCTGCCTGAGTCGCCTGTGTCTTCTATTCCTAGCCTTGATGAGTTTTACGATATAGTAAATAGNTGTTAGTCAGTAGTAGTATGTCAGAAATGCTATTGCGGTGCTGCCTGAGTCGCCTGTGTCTTCCATTCCTAGCCTTGATGAGTTTTACGATATAGTAAATAGTTTACCCTTAAACAAAGCATCGGGCGAAGATAAAATATCAAATAAAATGATTAAAGCAGCGTGTAAAACAGCCGGAACGGATATTCTTAATGTTTTCACTCGTTGTATCTCGGAGGGCGTGTTTCCGAGTATATGGCGTCGCGGATTTATTAAAATTATACCAAAGTAGAGGTGGGCGCCGATATACAATTGGCCAGCGGCGGCGCGCCGACTTTTTGACCTCGGCGGCGGCGGCGTCGGCGGCGTGACCTTGTTTGACCTTTGTTAATTAGGTATTTTTTCAAAAGTCTGCTTTTTTAGTATCTGTCGTCAAGATTAATCAGGTGATTTGCAGTTGGTTGGGGTTTGAGCCACTAGAGCAGTGGTTTACCCTAGTAAATTAGCTCTCTTGATCATAGATATATACTTTGATATTTGGATAGCGGGTTTGGCTGAGATCAGGTTCTCGTGCATTTCCTAAAGGCGAGCGTACCAATGTGCCGATAAAGGTACCCTTAACATGTATTTTTGAGCTCTTTGGAGGCACATAGTTAATGTTGGATTAGCTGACTGTCGGTGGAATATTATATTCAGTTCTGTTTTATTTATATTTAGTCTTTCCATGTTATCCTACGGTCCAGGATATTAATGCAGGTTCTCCAGCTCTGCAGCTAAAAAGAGAAGATTTTGTCGCCGAGTTTGATTTAAAACGATCTTCGGGCGCACCAGCGCCGCTAAGATAGCTAAGTCGAAGTGGTCACCATGACCGAAATCGGTCGGATGAATCATCATCATCAGTAGGAATCAAAGGCAGGCATAGCTGCAAGTCTCTGATCAAGTCCAATGCTTGATTTTATTTTTTTGATTGAATTGTGGATTTTTTGGATTTGTATTATCCGTGTCAATGGGTTTAAATAAACCGGTTTGTCATGTAGCAAAGGTCTGAGATTTTTCTTGTCAGTTCGCACTCATGTATTATCGGACCTAATAAGCGGAGAACACTTTGAGGGAGGTACTTTGTTGCCTTCCAGAGGTTGTGGTTCCCATTTGTATTCCGAGACATATTTGCCAATCTCTGTATGAGTGATTCGCTTAAATAAAGTATAGTCCAATAATGTGAATTGTCTGCTAGACGAAGGCGGGGATTTTTTTCTTGACAGCAAGAGGGACCGGCGCCTCTCGCGATCAATTATTTACCAGACCAAGCAGCAACTTGAATAATGTACTTGATTAACTGTTAATATAGTTAGTATTAAGTTATTCAATCAATTTATTAGTATATCAACGGCATTAAGTTCGCCTTGTGTACCAATTTATATGGCATTAAAGAATAAATATTATAGTTAGTTCTTCTGTTATATGGTTTACTGATGGGTCAAAAATGGGCCCTAACGTAGGCTTTTGCGTGTATGGAGAGCAGCCGANGTTCTTCTGATTAATTTCGTTGCGGGTCCAATGACAGTTTAACTTTCCCCCGGGACAAACTTGACCTTCATTGGTTGGGTTTTTGTGGCGGTCAAGCTGTAGATCCTGGCTACACAGGAGTTGCAGTGGTGGGAACGAGAGGTGGGAATAGTCCCGTTTACTCTACCAATATTGTGAAGTAGCTCTATTATCATGTATTAAGAACAACCTCTGATGCAAGTATATTCTGTTAGTTTTCAAAAACCGACTCAATTTCTCTTTGTTTTCAAAATTCACTTTGAACGAAGACACTGCCAGTTAATTTATTAGTCAATTGGTCCCTAAAAACAACACTTCGCCGCTTCGTAAAAAAATCTCATTATCCTTTATTGCACCGGGCCTAATTTGAATCGAGTGCTATGCAGTTACGAGTCAAGAGAGTGTATAATTTTAAGAACTGCGGACTGGGAATGACGTAAACAAGTACATTTCAAGCTGAAGAGCGAAGTGCCTGTTAAGAGGCTCGTATTCAGTCTGTACCTCTAGCACGGAAAACTTTCGACTTCAAATCGTTTACTCATTCGAATCGTCATCAAAATATTTAGAATGAAAACTTAAACAGTAAGTACCCCTGTGAACGTGACGTAAAGTGAACTTAGTATGAAATGGTAGCGCAAAACTTATTTTGACAATCAAGATCGTCACGTTACCGTTGAATTCGAAGGCTGGGTATCGAATTTTGTGAAATACGCAAATGATTCGAAGACGAAAGTTTTTCGTGTTATGTACCTACTGAACGCAGAAACCAATTATTAAGTTATGAGAAACTTTTTTACACCTTACTTGAGTTTAAATATTTTTAATATGCACCGTGTTAGGACTTCTGTGAGGCATTACGCAAAAAAGTACTATAAAATAAATCTACAAAACATGTCTTTACTGCTATGCAGTGTTAGGTTTTGTCTCTGGTGTAGTCTTTAATTTAATTGACACAATATTATTCAGAGTACTTTTTCTAGTATGACGCAAAGATCCAAAGCATTTAAATTACAAACATCCAGTTTTTAAATCTTCCAAGAATAAAAATTACGTCATGTCATGAAAAAAGCCGGCAGCAATCTCTGAAACGATTTAATTACCTTTATTACAATTTTACTCGACGAAAAACGGGAGAGACATCGCAACCAAAAGATCAGCTCGCGGCGACAAGGCAAGGGCCGTCTTAAGTAATGCGATGAGATAACCGTAATAAATACACTGCAGGAGTAGAACATTTTAAAATAATCCCCTGAATGGAGACTCAAAAAGGGAAAATGTGCTCTTAGAGTAGAAATAGCAAAAATTCGTATTAATAAAGGAAGAGGACTCGTCTCTGTCGCTTACCTTTTCATGCTACTAAACCGATTAGAATGTAGGTACAGTCGCGGAATGAAAAGGTTCGTCACCTTAGTGTCGGTTTTCGCTTGCACTAGGTACTGTAAGAATCAAACCTGCCAACATAACAGTGCACGAAACAGTGCTGCTAACATTTAAATAAATAAATGACGTTTGCTAACGAATAAGGTTTTGCTTGTTTATTTTTCTATCCCGTCAGTGCAATGCAAAAATGACATTGACCAATTGACAATAGTTTTTTTTTATTTAATAGAAATAATAATGCAGGTTGAACCAACAAGAAGGTTTTAGTTTATCAATCATAATAATCTTCTTGACAAGATAAATTGTCAAACAACTTTGATCTGAATAATTTGAACTTTACTGACGAACAGTTAAAGATTATTTTCTCTAACTCGAGATTATTCTGTAACATAGTTTCAAAAGGTAATATGTGCTCGCGATTCGTTGAAGGAATCAATTTGAAAACTGACGAACCTTTTCATTCCGTGACTGTACATAGATAGTTTGAGACCCAGTGTTTTTTATTTCGGTTTTGAAAATCACGCGCGTGACGGTCTTTAGTGACAGGGGCCGAATTCTACAAGGGTTTTAAGCCGCAGGCACAAATTTTACCTACTATTGCTTATGTTTCTCTATGTCTCTCTAGTATCTATGTATTTACGCTTAAAAAAACGATGAAGATGTAATTAAGCACATACAGAATATTATTTTACTTTTTATCCCAGTTTAGAAAGGGGATCACGCGCGCAATACCTAAGTCTTTTAGTGACAGATCGAATTTCACGCATTCAAAGCCGCGAGCAAAAGCTAGCACTCCTTAAATAAAATGCTTCGGCGTAAAATTCTTCTTACCGCTCTGAAAATGTTCCGTTATTTTCTTTTCAATTATTTCAATTCGAATATTGGATCCAACAAGTCCGCCCGTTGTTCTAAATTCTCATTTTTACTTTAATGTTGGCCTCGGAAAATTCCACTGTTCCCAGATTAAGTAATATTGTTTAGGTAAATAAATGGATGGAAGATAACCTAAGTTGTGCTATTATTAATATTAGTTCACAATTATGAGAGTAAATTAGTTCAGTGTTTTTCGGCTTGTTTATTTACGAAAACAATCTTAATAGGCAGACATAGAGGACGTGGAAATTTTACAGAGGTTTTATTTTATCTCGGCCTTATTCTTTCACTAGCTTTTGCCTGCGGCTTCACCTGCGTAAAATGTAGTCTGTCACAGAAAAACTTTATCCCGTGGTTTAAGAGTAGGCGCACACCGTTGATTTTTAGTTGACCGATAGTTTTGCCCGATTTTAAATTGTATGAAGAATCGGACAAATCGAATCGGCGTAGTGTGCGCACTCCCATACATGCCCATACTGATCAACTGACCGACTAAACTATCGGCCGACAAAAAATCAACGGTGTGCGCCTACTCTAAGCATGAAAACGTATTCCTACATACAGAAAGAGATAGGTACTTTCGCATTTACATTAAATAGAGATTACTTCCGTAGCCATACATTCAATACTCAATTAAGTTAACCGTCCGATAGAAATCTAAACATTACCAAAAAGGTAGGTACGTAAGTACTTATCAAACTAATCCAAATAAAACCCAGCAACGCAAGCGTGAATCGGAACTTTGTCCAATCTTTCGGTCGGAATTTAATTAACATTGTGGTTAGGGTTGCCAAGCGTCCGGCTAAAGCCGGACATAGGTAGGTAGACTTTTTGATTGAGTGTCCAACCAAATAAAACAGTTTTTTTAGGGTTTTTATGTGGCTGCTGCACCAGTAAAAAATCGAGAGCACAAGTAACACAATTGTAGCCACGGCTAAAATTGAAATATTATAAAAAATGAATCTTATAAAGCCACGGCTCTTAGAACATTAATTATGGCGGCTTGAAAAAGTTATACATGATAGCTATTAATAATAGTACAGTAGAATCCCGATTATCCAAATCAATTAACCCCTGGTGTTCCGGATAATCGATTTCAAAGTAAAATCAAACAATAATTAACTTTTTAAAATAGAAAGGGTTTTCAATACACAAAATTTAAATTTTAAACCATTGGATGGATCCATTTCATTTAACAATGAACTAAGACGAAGTCCGTACCGTTTTACGGTGGCGCGGCGCCTTCCGTTTTAATGGGTATAGACCCTAAATCGGTAATTAGAAACCGTGAAGAATGAGTCCGGATAATCGGATATCCGGATAATCGAAGTCCGGATAATCGAGATTCTACTGTATGTCCAGCTTTTAGGGTAGATAATGTCCGGCCAAATTACCTAAGCACTGAGTCCGGCCTTTGTGTTTTTGGACCTGGCAACCCTAATAATTGTGGTGCTGGGCACGGCGGACCGTGAGGGCCTGCCGACGACAGG